CAACAACAATAATAACGACTAACAATATTAGTAACAATAGTAATAATAATAGTAATAACAATAAAACGACCAAACTCAAAATACAGGAACAAAATACAAATCAAAATCTCAAATTTTATTATACGCAAAATTAAAATAATGCCTCGTAACTTAAGCAAAAATAAGTTTATTTTTTAAGACAATGCTTAACACTTAGAAACCTCACTAAGTTTGCCAAATTGAAATATTGCCAACCCAACCTCTTAAACCAAAATATAACTGAGAAATTTTTGGTCGTTGCCTGAAAAACGTGAAAAAACCAGAAAAAACTTAGATTACTCACTGGTAAAATAAGGGATTTTTAATCTTCAACAATATTAAGAATAATAATATTGTGTAAAACCTTTGGAAGGGTGACATCGGCATCAACAAAATTGTTCCCTTCGCCAGAAGTTTTCAATGCCTTAAATAATATTTTTTTGTTTTGCAGTCGCAACTCGTTATCAAGAAAGTGGGTTCCAGCGTCTGTTACGTCCAAACCAGCCAACCGTACATTGAGCAGCTCTGGCTAGAAGAAAGATGGAACATTACAAAATAAGCCGAATATGCGTAAATTTTATGGAACTACGCGCTCTGATAAACATGATGCCATGAGTAATAAGGAGCATCACACAAAGAATAAAATGACTAAAAACCTCTTTTCTTCTTCTGAAAGACAGCGCTCTAGGCAACTCGAGGACAGGTATATGTTCGACTTTCAACACACCGGCCGGGAGCACTCGGCGGACTTTCCCTTTTAACTCAAACTCTTTTCTTATAAATTCTTTAGGGATTTGTGACACAGTTTCGAATCTTGAGAACTAAAATGTTTTCAGTGCTAAACCGGAAGAGTATAAGAAACTTCACTGTCATGTAACGACCAAAAAATACTGATCAAAAATTTCAAAAAAAAACATCAAGTTGAAGAAAAATTTACGAGGCGCGATGAGCGTAAAAATATAGCTATCCCAACAAGACCTGTTCCCAAAATGGCTCCCTAAAACGATTATATTTCTGTAAAAAGCAGTTCATGAATTACTTGAGAACCACGTTCAATTATAAAATCTATCCGTTTACAAAAACAATTGACATTATGCGCTCACCCTAACGATAATAGCATTCGTTCGACTCACAGGTTCAACTATTCGAACCCTCTCTACATCCTTCACTACAGTATCTGCATCGCTCTTTTCGCTCATCTGGAGTACAAACTTGAAAACAGGTGACAAATGGGTTGCAAGTTTAAAAACCTTACAACAGTTGACAATAAAACATTGTCAGAAATTAGATCTAGATTCACCACTTCCAGTGACACAGAACATCATTAAAAAAATTTATTTCTTCAGATAAACTTAGCGGTGACAACGGTAACTGCGTAATGTCGTGAATATGAATGACTTTTATTATGACGTATTTTTTACATTCTAAATTTATATTTCATATGTCAGTATTTTTACACTGAGTAAGCGCTAAAAAAAGCGAGGAACGATTATAAACCTTACCCTAGAGACAAAGGGAACTTTGAAACTGCCGTTAAAGACTTTTCTCTCGCACAATTCAATAAAACCAAAGAAGTGTAAGTGAAAAGCAAATGATAACAGCAAAGAGTACTACTTTCATAAAAGGTCAGTAATCCCGAGTACTAATATGCATACATCCTTCAAGAGACCAATAAATGCACTGGAAACAACAGTACACCTAAAATTCAAAACAAAATGTAAGAAATAGATCTTTATACAAAAAAACCAAATACTTCTGATTAACCCCCATAGGCCAAAAACATCTTGAACAGAAGAAATAACTTGCACTTCCCCCTCAATAACTCCACTTAATGTTCTTTCCCAAGCCAGCCACAGACAAAACTAAATACCCCATTTAAAATATTCCTCAAAATAACATCAGATTTTTTGGTAATTTGTCAGCACTATACAAAACCGCTGAAGCCCAACATACCTATCTACCAGTAACCTCAATCCACTTCTACATTTCCAAACTAAACTTTTTTATCTTCAATTACAGGAACAAAGACCAGCAGTTCCAGCGCTGCAATGCTGATGACTTTGAAAACCTAACAACCAGTGAGCTATACAACAACTCAAAAATTTCGAGAATGAAGCTAGCATCCAAATCAAATTTTCTCACTCCATTCCTGCAGGAAAACACCATTTTAACCAAAAAAAGCTACAGAGTACACATCAGGACTCACATTTCATGTTTATAACTAAAAGACGACCAAAATCCAGGCAAAATTTAAAAGAATTTCTTACTCAAGAACTCTGTAAAACGCATAAAATTGAGAGGCAGTTATAAAACACAAGTTATCTTAGCTTTCCTCAGCAAAAATTCCAGCTTCTCCCACCCAAAATTCTTACAGAGTTGAAGCAATCAACCCAAAAAAATTCCCTTTTCCTTGCAGATCCAAAACGCCTTTCATCATCTTAAGCTTGAAGGCAATCCTAGATTCCAAAGAACAGTACTCGTCATAATTTTTAATACTGTGCAGAAATCAGTTCAAAATATGGGATGCAAAGAGATCACAAAAAAGCGGATTAAAGCTCAATTATGTATATGTCATACACCAATCTCTTGAAAACCAAGTTATTTTATCGTCGAAATATGGGAGCTGGACTATTCTGATTAATCCTTCGTCGCTGTCTTTCAAATCGCCGTTCCATCTCATCCAGAAGTTTCGGCATATAACGAACAACTAGCTTTACGGTACCGGTAGCACTTTTTAATAATTCTACAGCCTTTTCATGACATTCACACTCCACATTCACGCCATTCACCTAAATAAAATAGACCAAGAGTTTGTAAAGCAAATCACCAAATAGTAACAAAGAAATGTGCATATCCATATAGACAAACCGCTATCAACTGATCTCCTCTTCTCAATTGCCCATTACGGTCTGCAACGCCTCCTGGTATAATCCTTGAGATGTAAATAGGAGAGTTCTGTTCCTTACCCCCCATCACATTAAAACCAAGACCTTGGTCTGTTTTCGGCAATTCAACTATTCTTGGATGCGAATGTCCTTCCGCAGCAGCAAAAGCAGCTACGGTAGCCTTACTCGCCGCATTTGCTCGTACCTGTATTAAAAATGGTCATATATAAAGTCAAGCATTTAAAAGTTCGTCAGCTCCCTTCTTAATGAGTTAAAACGGCAATTTTTAATACGTTAACGGACAAGTAAATAGATCCTTTAAAAACTTTCTCCCTTAGTTATAAATGAATCTACAGTCATTTCTCTGAATTAAAGTAAAAGTAATGAGGAAAAACTTTACATCGCGAGGACTGTCGGCATTAATTGCGTCATAAACATGTTCAAATATCTCTCTGACAGAATTAAAAAAATCAGACTGAAGCACTTTCTGCAAAGTAGCAAGTTTAGCATTAGACAGCTCACCGGTTTTCTGGACATGCTCGATCAGCTCGATAACCCTCTGTATGTCTAAACTAATAAGTATAGCAATAACTGAAAAAAAATTTCCTTTATTGCAGCGCTTTTAAAAACAGATTCGATGAGAATATTGCTGGGTTCAAGACAGAATAAAAAAAGGTGGCGATACAGGAAAGAAGTGACATGAAAATACCTCGTTCAAGGTGTAAACTATCGCTAGTCTTTTCCATACCGATAAAGTACCAAAATATATGCCACTGTTTAAAATCGAATTATTCACTTTCCGTGAAGAACCTGAAACATTAGAAAAAACCACTTGGACAAAAATAAACCACCTTTGGTAACGCACCACACACTGATCACTACATTCTTATAACGGTCGAAAACTATCGTTAATTCAGGTGATAACACTCAGAAATAAACAGAAAAAAAGTAAGAATAATAAGAAGCGATCGATCACGACCTCATAATGCCCAATGATAAGTAAAGTGGTGCAAAGGGGCAACCTATTCAATAAAACCAGCATTTAAAAAAGAAGGAAAAAGCCAACATCAAAATCACACAGAGAAATAAACTCGGAAAAAAACAGATTGAATAGAAAAAAAACAAATAAAATTTATTTATTTATGTACAATCTATTATATCTCATTCACAAGGTGAAAAGTGTTCGACATTGGAAGCGGTATCACATTGAACGTCAGCTTATATATTGGTGTGCCTACTCTTGATAGATAAGGAGCATTTTCTGGAAGAGACAAATCAGGATGTATTTCTTCTTGAGTTATCATAACATGACCATCAACGTGTGACTTCAACAAGTATGAACCACGATCCTGTCGAACATAAACCTGGAATGAGGATGAGCTTACCACTGATCCCTTGTGACAACTAAAGAATTATTACAGTAACTCATAATCGAATTAAAAATTCAAATAAAAGATAGTGACATAAGAAAAAAATCTTCCTACAAAAAAAAAAAAAAAGTAAAAAATTTGCAATTTATATCAAACAAATTTATTACTAACATTTAGCCCCGGATGATAATTCATTTTGTATTGGCATACAAGTAACTCGTCCTTCATGCACTGTTCGCCATCAGTTCTGTAGATACCTCGATATGGTACATTTAGCGGCGGGCGAAAAAGAGTTCGAAATGGATACCAACTGACGGAGGGAGGGGCAAGAGAAAGTTTTGACGCCAATACGCGTATACTTATCATGGGCTAAATAAAGTAGTAGAATTAATCAATCAACAAACTGCTAACGTATAATAAGTACACATTAAGCAACATCAGTATTTCCAACAACAATAAGCAGTCATCTTAAAAAACATAAATCTTTTAACCAAAAAACGGAGAAGGTGCTACGAAACTCTTTTAATGAAAATAAGTAACAAAAAGTTACAAGAGCAAAGAGTCATGTAGAAATGCCCGCAAACGATCAGCTGCAGCCAAACTGTGGCGACTCAGACGACTGGTGAGCAAACAAACTGAATTAAAGATTGGCGCAACGCCAAATGGTTCAAAGAACAAAAATGAGTCTCCTCCCTATCTATAAACAAACTTTGACTGGTTTTGCTGCCACTCTTCCTCTCGACTATCCACTTCTCTCCGGCTCTTACGACAGTAGCGGCGTCTTTTTGAAGAAACATTTCACTTAGAATTTTTGTAAACCAAACTGATGGTCAAAAGTTTTTGCAAACTTATCGGTAGGCCTACTGTTCCATTCAGTGAAGTTTATATTCAAAATTTATTATACAAAATTCGTATCAAAAGTATTTTCTTTTGCTTTAATGAGAGCCTTGATTAAGAACATACCAAAGAAAGCACTGTAAACCCTTAAAACTAATGCTGCCTGAGCAAGTTCTAAAAAAAATTGCGATGAGGAAGATTTTAATTTGTTACCCAACGGAATGCTGCCCTCATCCATTGATTCATTTTTATCCCCTTAAGTACATCATTTTTTTTTTTGAAGGACTTAAAAAGTGTATGGTGCCAAAGAAGCTCATTTTTCACCTATGAATAGTATGCTGGAACCGTATACGTAATCTTATTACAAAAGTTAATGGAACAGTGTTACTCTCTTACACTGATAAACAAATTTTGCGTAGTTGCTTTAAGATAAAGTGTATACTACTTTATACAAGTGAAGTAACATTAGCTGTTACTTTAACCAAGTTACTGCTGCTTCAGAAAAAGTCGAGTTATATTTTCTTTCTTTCGCTGTAAGGTGTTTACTGATGGAGATGGATTTAGAGCAATTCATGTTCATAGTTACAAAAAGCTATTGCATCTTTTCAACGAAGTATCTGACGCTGAATTTAACAGACGGATAAGGCAAATTATGCTTCACAGGTTCCTTCCAGCAAAAAATTACTGATGAAACAATCGGATGTGCCTTGTTTGCTTCAAGTTTATAGGATGAGGCGTTACCACTTCACACCGGAAGCAGTTTCCCCTGGAGATAAATAAAGAAGGAACTGCATTTATCAAACTGTTTTACTCTAATTTCATTTAAAGTTTCACCGAAAATATGTGGAATTGAGAGACGTCAGGTTAGTCACTGTTAAGCTCAAAAAAAGGTAACGAGTCCCACATGACTCATCCTCCAGTCACTAGAAGTCATACACTTTAAGTTGCTTTTCAATCTTCAACAACTCGGCTTCTGAACAATTTCGTATTACGTAATTTACAATGACAGCTAAGTGCTTAAATACAGACCACTGCATCAGATGCACGTCACTGGGTCCGCTATAAATCCCCACTGGTGCTTCTACGTAAAAAAAGTAAGTTCTAAACAACAAACATATTTTACAGGCAAGGTGTCATCAATACCGCTGACATTAAGTCTGTGACTAACGACAAGGAGAAAATGCTTGTAACTAACGTCCCAAAAACAGCCAGTTTTCGTGAAAATCTCTTTTTCTAGTAATTCTCATGGTTTTGTACAGTACGAATAAGTGCCTCTCACAGACCTTTTTAAGTTGTCAGTTTTCTTAGCAAATTTTTGCATTTTGCAGCACTCGGCTGCATGGAAAAACTTCTTGAAGTTTCAAAAGTGCCTTTCCATCTAGTTATTTTAGAATACCACCTTAATCCAAATCCATAAACTTTTCTAAATAAAGTAGCACATCTCAAAACTGCCATTACTTTATCTACCTCAAACGAAGAAGCTTTTCTCTTTTCAGTTAGAGTCGTAAATCAGGCATCACTTGTCTGAGGCAAAGAAAGTTTCCAAAAAATTGCGAGGCGGTTAATGAAATCGACTTTATAGCAACCACTGGAAGGGAATAAAAGCTGCAAAAAGTCAGAGAACTCAAAAATATTTACACCACAGCTCCCACCAGTAGTTACTGTATAATCTTGAAAGATAATCTGAGTTTTCTTCTTCAAATGATGAAGCACAAACAGAATTAGGATGGGATTTATATGTTGAACATAACTTCCGCACAAAAACAACAACAATAAAACTTGGATCACTTGCATATAAGCAACATTTCTTCGTAATTTGTTATGCTCAATAAAAGAAAAGTTTCATAAATTCTACTTCAAATATCGGCAAATCCAGGCCAATCTCTTTATGTGCCCTGAAGAACAAGTCACACAATCCAAAGTACTATGCCAACAGGAAAAGTGCGTAAAGAAGTCTTTTGAAAAAGCAGCGTTTCATCTGAATTGACTTATCCAGTGAGGAATATCCATTTGGCAGTTTCGTAACGAATCAGTTAAAAGTGTAGTATTTTACAGTGCAGTCGTTAACCACCATGTATGGTCGATAAAAACGTCACAGTGTCGCCCTCTTTTAGCGTGGTATCTACACCGGACAAAACTTCCCAGTCGACATCGTTCACCAAGACCAGCACCCCAGGCCTTACCGTATCGTTTGCAACCAGCAAGTAAGCTCTGAAATATTCGTTAATTTTTTAAAAGAGGGCAGTGATGAAATAATAAGGCGAAAATTTAAAAAGCCCATTTAAGGCCCACTGCGCGTGAGAAACTAAACTGCTTGCCTTGATAATATATTTTAAAGTCTACTAAAAATTCAATTTCATAATGAATTATAGGTTAGAATAAACATGTGAAAGAGGTCTTGCAAAGGATGATATTTGCGAGGTGAGTCGCATTGAGAACTTAACAGGAAGAGAGTTAAAAGTAATACTAGTGCTAGTAAGCCATGGCATTAATAACAGATTTTTGAACGTAATGCAATAATATAGTACGAGTGACAAAAAGTGAGCTGAATGACCACCGATTATTTAATAAAATGATAATACTACTATTGTTTATTCGACAGAAGATAATTTTCATTATTTTAGTAAAGCAAACTTGTCTTTTTCGATTAAAGAACTCATCATCCATTGGATCAAATCACGGATAGTTATTGACGGATCAGATGGTAAATCAATTTGATGAAATTTTTTTTTCCCAACGACAATTTCTGAACCTCCAGAAAATTCTAGGTTCAGATGTACCATCTGTTCTCGAAGTTCGTTACAGCCAAAAGGGCCTGAAACTAAACAAAATGTTGCGCAAAACACGTAAGGTTTTCTAGAAGAATGTGACACGTCTAATCGATGCAATGATCGTATAGTTTCATTTTAGTAATAATTATTTCCATCAAATCTAAGTGTAAATCATGGCACTGATCAAAAACTGCGTTCAGGTATTACTGCTGAACTAAATTTCAATGCTTTACTTATCGATAAATATCTATCAACATAATATCGATGTCAATTAATAGTTCTTGTAGGAAATAAATTACTGAGTGCCGCACGCTTGCTTATTTTCAAATGAGTAAAAGACCACAAAATAGGTGAGTTTTGAGACGATTCTTAATTTACTTAACATACTACAAGTAGTCTCAAATGAACAGACTAAGAATAAAAATGTTTAGTTCTATTGAAAAAAAACTATAATATAACGGCAGAACGAGCATGCATTTAAGCTTTCTTAGGCCAGGTCCAGGACTTCCAAACAACCAAATACGCTTGAATAATCCTTTACAGTGCATTTATTTTAACAACTGTTTAAAAACTAGCGCGCAGAAAGTATACGTAACGGAAACTAATAAAAGAAGAACACTTAGATGGACACCTCTTCCATTAAAATTTGCGTTTTACTGAAATTGTAGACGGATACATACCCATATCTAATTTGTATACATCTCTCAGTACGTCGCAGTTGGCAAAGTTCCAGCATAGCTGCAATCCGTAATTTTGATGTGGGTAGAACTCCGAACCAGAACAGTCGCGTTTAAGTTGTTTTAAGTGACTCGCTACACCAGGAATTTCGGTGAACAGTGTAGCGAGTCATTTATAACAAACTTTTGCGAAGGAAATGTTTATTTTAAATCTTTAGCAAAGATACATTGAAGAGAACTAATCCCAGCTTTTTCCTGTTCCGTAACTTTCGGATCGGGCACCAATACAGGTCATATGTCTCGCAAACAAGAGACCCCCTCTGGGAGGTTGGAGGAGTATAGTGCCTATATTTGAATAACAAGGTCGCTTCCCAGACGGCTAAACATCATTGTTCAATTTTACTTGACATCTTTCCTCTTTTTTTTTTTTTCTTTGCGTTAATCCACTGTTGATTTGAGCATATTGTAGGTTTTAAGGCTCTTAAATAAACTAATGATGCCAAAGGAATCTGGGTGAATTATTCTGCTAAACGCAAGATAAAACTGGCTTTGGAGGCAAAAAAAAAAAAAAAAATGAAAAGATTTGGAGATTCAGACTTTCCTTCTGAGCTTGCAACAAATAACTGTTTATTCAAATTCATGAAATTATCAAAATTTAATGAAGTTAAAAACATAAGTTTTATTTCTGTTGAAAAAACTTTATTGTCACTACAGTGAAATGCAAACTTGTTCAATTTTTTTTTTTTTTTTTTTTTTTTTTTTTTT